AATTAGATAAAAAAAATAATGTCCGCAGCAGCTAAACTGCTTTTGGATTGAGATTTAATGTACTTCTAATCAGAATATGTGTTATAGTGAAGCTGGCATAATAGTTTACTAAAATGTAATTGTGTAAATATGCCCAATTATTCTTTCTGATGATCTAACAAAATCTAATATAATAAGCATTCGTGGGTATTTCACTCCTCCTTCACCTCAATACCAATAAAACGTACTTTCTGCAGAGCTGATCAGAGATGCTTTGTCATATCTAAAGGTGTTACTTTTAAAAGATATTCTCCTTCTCTCTCAGGAACTATTCATGTCCTTGAAAGAATTGTGCATTCTGATTGAGGAATCATACGACGTCCACATTAAACTATATAATAAAGGTGATTTCAAGACTCTAAGAGTCAAACACACATGATGAACTGTGCTTTCTAGGTTTTGAGATGACATTTTAAAACTTCTTTTGTTTCACTCTAAGATTACTTGCGATAATAACTGTTTGTAGGTATTTGACACCACTCCACCATATCTGTAATTGGCATAGCATCCAGCAGACAGGCTCTGTACATCTTTACACTGCAACCTACCAAGTTAAGAAATGTATTGGTTCAATATAAAACAGCAGGCTGTTTTTAGACATAGTTACTAGTGCACAAGCTTTAATATGGCTTGGCTTCATCCTATAATGAGATCTTTTGGTTCCCTGCTCAACAGGCTTTTATTCCTCTGCAAAGGGCTATGAACTATGTCAAGTGGATCAGTTGCTTTTGTACACCCTCTTTCTTGGCTTTGGAACATAATTCCTTTGCTTCTACCCCTTTATGCATCAGACAGAACTTAAGAACCTTTTCAATTTTTCAAGCTAAACTTAGAATTTGTTTGAATTTGCTTTTCACCATTTTCTTAATAATTACATTCTCAACTAAACCTTACACAAAGACCTGCCTGGAAGTGAACATCTAATTGCAGAGCTCCACTTTGTCTTTAGCACATATATCTATACCCCATGTTGGTAATGTGTCAAAGGATGGTTACCTAAAATGATTCCTTCACAGTCGTGTCACAACGAAATTAACGATTCTCTTTTGGTGAGCATCAAAATGGGATGTGGTTAGGGGTTGAGGGTATAAATAATGGACAAACAAATAAACAATGAAACTAGAACTAGGCAATAGTTCAATCCAAAGGCAGGAAACTACTTTTGTTGACATCTGGCTGCTTAGGAGCTATAGTTGTGGCCCTAGTGGAAAATGTCATGCTGTTGCTTCAGCTTGATAAAGAACGGGCGAAGCAGATTCTGCTTGCCTAGAGACCCTGCTTTCCAGGTGAAGCTTGGCCATGACTTTGTTTATAAACCTCTTCATTTCCTGATTGCCTATTGAATTCATTAAAATTTGATCATATATACAATATTTTGAGTCACAGCCCTTTAAAGGGAGCAATCACTGATCACTGGGAATTTTGCAGTGTAAAAATACAGTGGATATAATCACCAATGATGGTTTTTGCAAGACTCACCCTCCACATTAGGGCTGCATCACAATGTTATCCCTTCTCCATGACATCTTCCATTTTTACCAAAACCTCTAAAAGTAATCTTATATAGGTAAGTAAATATTAGTAGTCTCACTGTTGAAATGCTTTTCTCATGGGAGGTGCCAAACTTTTTCCCTGGGTTGACACTTCCTGAGGACTATGTGACTTCCTTGAGGTTCCTAGTACCAATCCAAGCAAAAAGAAAATACTCACTATAAATTTATTGTTATAAGGGGCACATGGAGATAATGTGTTGAAAGGACTCTGTTGCAATACCCGATCTTTGATTAAAAATATAAATAGTAAATGTGGAATAAACTCTATTCAATATATTAACTATTGTTTAAAACAAAAATGATATGCTCTCCTGCATTAGTGTAAAAGGAAGAGAAAAATGAGTATTATAGTATTTGATGAAATTTTATCTTGCCTGTCAGATTAGATGCAGCAATCCTACAGGCCTACGAATCACAAGTAATTGGAAGGGGCATAAAGGTCTTGAATAATTTGAAAAATAACCTTATTAATAAATAAACTTATTCATTAGGTAGTTGGGTAAATCTAAGCATTTAACTATAGTATTCAAGAAGGCAAGACACAGAGTCTCTGGGTTTGAGTCTCATCTATGTTAGGCAGTGATGTCTAACGTTTAAAACACAGAATCTAGGGCACTGATAGAGTTTGTATGGATAAGAATGGAAAGTTATTACATAAGGTTGCCTTGGTTACTCTTGAACTGCTCAGATAAACTGACTATTCAGGTGTGGAAAATAGATACATTTAATACACTGTAAGAATACAAAAATAAAATTACTTTTCTAAATAAAAAGCCTTCTAAATAAAGTCATACTAAATTGTTTTAGTTAAATATTAAATGCAAGACATTTACAAAACTGGTGCCACTAAAATCCCTAGATGGAAATGCTTTGGATGATTTACTTTTGTGTGAAATTCATTAAATCTAATACCCAATTTCCTACATCGTTATGTACTTTTATCTTGGTGTTCAATCACAGCATATATTAAAAAATACCTTAATTTTATAAGTTGAAACATAATTCCAAAGTCAATAAATGAAACCAATTTACTAAAAAAATGTATGAAATTTGTATTTTTAAATATTGTGAATTTTTAAAAGAACACTATTTTTTGAAGTCATATATCAACTAAACTTTATGATTTAAACTATAAAGATCTGTATCTTTCACAGTTCATTTATGGGCATGAGTCATGTGATTTACATAAACAGACTAGTAGATCTTCAGAAAAGGATGTAACAGGATAAAAAAAAACCCTCAGATTTTAAATTATGGTTGAATTCATTCAAATACAAATCAATATATCAATTAGATATGAAAGTATGCTAAAGCACAATAAAGATAAAGAAGTATTTTTTTTTATTTTAAAATAATATGTTCAGGATAATACAGGTCCAGTTTAAAAATATTTAAGATTAGGTTTCCACATTTAAAAACAGAACAAATCTGTAACTGTAAATTACAGCACTTAGTCACAATTGCCATATAATTCAACAAAACATTTTACATACAGAAATCCTAAAATGTATTGAAACTATTTTCACATTTGCCTACTTTCTTATTTTATTTTTGAAATTATACAAGATGCTTTATGGAATGAATGCCTGGAGTAGACAATAGAGGAAAAATACTATGAATATAAATATGAAAATAAAATTCTGGTATCCATTAATGTTCTCTGTTATGGAGAAACATTATTTCAAATGTGCTAATATTTTTATCACAAATAGTAGCAGGATATATTTAAATATTAGACAACCCACTTCACTGAAATACTCTGCAGGATAAAAAGAAAAAGTCAAATACTCTAACAATTCCAGGTCATTAGGAGGCTTTATGTGCTCATAAACAGATGATACTCTTACATTCTAATATATAAGCATAAGTTAATTTGGGGTATATGTAAATATTCAGATTCTGATTATTGTGAAATAGTACAAAGATCTCCTTATATTTGATGTAACACATGAAATAAATTCTTTAGAGGACAAAAAAGGAAAACAGCTATTTACTAGAATTCTATTTAAATCTAACAATTTAAAGGCTTTGTGTGTGTGTAAATAGCACTAAAAGAGAGATTCAAGAGTTTGCTAACATTTTTTTTTTATTTCTTAAGCCCTTTAAGTAAGGATATAACTAGAAACCTGGCTTCATTTCAAAGGAAAAACCATAGGTGATGTTCTCATGCTTCAGGTTAAAAATCTCTCTTAAAAGTCTAGATTTGCTAAAGGCTTCCTAAAAGTATGCTTTTGTGGTTATTACCAATTTGATATTCAGCCAGAAAAACTGAAAATAATTATTAATCCCAAAGTACACTTTTAAAACTTCTACAAGGAATTATATTAAATGAAACCAAACTATAATTTTGGAGAGATCAAACTGAGTAGGAGACCAAATTGTATGAAAATTTACTCTCCCTTTCATCTGAGCCACACAGTCTCTATGTCTCAGTAACTACATAATTAGTCTTGTAATTGACTTATTTCTTTATACTTAAGGATCTTTATAACCTGCCATATTAGTTTAATTTAACATAAAATTGCAATACTGAGATTTGGTCACACTAGTGGATGTCTAGAATCCCTCTAGTGCATTGGAAGGAATGGATTGCATTTAATATTAACTGTATGTATAAAATATAACATTGGTTAACAAACAAACCAAAACAAATGAACCATATCTCTACCTCAAAAAAAAGACATAGAGCTCTCAAAATAAAAGAAATTCTTTGAATAAATCAAAATCAGAACACTGGGATTTTAATATAATGCAATTTTAATTTAAATGCAATTTGTCAAAAAATATTCAATCTTCTTTATAAAAAATAGCTATTATTTATAAATAATTGCTTTATAAATAATAGCATTATTCTTTCATCAAAAATTATCATAGCATTTAAATTATAGGTAATAAAATGCATATTTTCAGTGAATTTAAATTTTATTGCTTTAAAAAGCTGTATTTCTGCCACACACAAAAACAAAATATGCTGACGACATTTTTCTTTTAACTAGTTAAAGGCACAGTCCAGGCTGTCCATCTAAAACTTTGTCATAAATCTAAATAATTCATTCAAGTAGAAGATGATTCACTCTACCTAAGAAGCTTCCTCAAATGCCACATCCTCCTTGAAGACTTTCTGAATATTCTGGTAGCTGCTTTCTGTGTTTTCCTACAGCCTTTTTAGTTTACCTCTCTTGTAGTCTTCATTTCAATATGTCTTTTAGTATGGTTCATTCTTTACAGGTCTCTTTCCTCTACTAAACTGCATATTCCTGTGGACAGGAGAGGAATGATACCCATCTCCACAGTCTGGGCAAGAAAGTCTACACAGCAGGCACTCAAGGTGGGTTGAGTAAATGGAGAAGGCAAGGAACGGGAGTGCAGATATCAACACTGATGGCCTAACTATTATGTGGGTTTTTTCCCCAAAGTGTACTTTAAAGTAAAGAATGCTTACCTTTAACCATCAATAGATACACACCCAAACATAAACTGTCCAGTTTAAATAATATATTTGGAAATAATATATTTGGAGAGAGGGACTCCTAAGAATGGTTAGAAGAAACAGAAATAGCAATAGGAAGGAGGAGACATTTAATATGAGGGGGTGTCCAAAGGTCCCTAAGTTATTGTAACCTATTAAGAAGTTTAGAAAACTAAAAAAGTAGTTGAAAATTCACATATTAAACCATATAGATTTGGTTAAAGAAAAAAGGCATTCAGAGATTACTTAAAATAACAAGTTAACAGTGCAAATACCACGTTGCTTTATGAGAATCTTACCATGTGCTTTTCCGCCCCCTCAAAAGAAAAAAAAAAGAATTAAAACACTCTCCAGTTTTAACACAAACAAAAGATAAATATTTATGAAGGAAAACAGATTCCACAGCATTCCATGCAGATTTCCAAACAGTCTGATGATTCACAACAGGCGTCCATGATGCCACAGTCCATGTCACAAGGGCAGTTACAGTCATCCCCCATTTCGTCTCCACAGCAACAGCAGCAGGCTTCTGAGGTGCAGATGCCACACGACGCTTGTCCCAGGACAATATTGCAGAGGGTCAGGAATTCACAGAACAAGCATGCCAGGATACAGTGGACACAGCAATCTTCATTTTCAGTTATGAGGAAACCACATAGTGAGGAAAAAAAAAAAAAAAAAACAAGGAACACAAAATACATGGCATCAATAGACTGAATAAAAATTGATCAAAATAATCAAATAAGCCACAATCCAAATGAAGCAGGAAGCTCAAAAAAGAGCTTAAGTTAAATTCTAGATGAGTAATCTTTACAACTATTATTAGATACTGCCTTTGGAAAAGGAGCTGCAGTGTGTGCATGTGTGTTAGATTATCACTCTCACACACTGTGCAGTGGGCCTTGGTCCTAGGTACTACTTGTCTATGCCCTTTACCCATCTTTCCTATATCCTATTACTCTCAGTAACACTGAGAGTAATAGGATAACACAGTTCCATGATATTTATTAAAGTCCTTGAGAAATAGAACTTTCCTTTAATTGCTCTACCAACCTGCTCTAAAACTGGAAAGAAAAAAATTTAAACATGAAATATTTTGCATATCATTGAATAATTAATTCAATAGTTAAACCAGTATCCATTGAACTGGAATCAATATATTTTACTTTCCAATACAATTGACTCACTTTCATGGTTTCAATTTTCTTTCTTTTAAATTTCACAAGAATTCAAAGAAAAGAGTGAGATGCTCTGGTTGGGTCTATCCATTGGTTTTGGAATAATTTCTTTGCCTATTTCTAACAAAGGGTTTTGTACCTTAACAAATGTGAATAATGACACAGTAACATTGCTTTCCGACTTCCTTTGGTGGCAAAGGAAGATGTAGACGTGAAGTGACAGAATTCCTCTGCTGCAAATTCCTCTACTACAGATGCTTCAAACACCAAGTTCCTAGGGCAGTCTCACAACGCTACAGGACTATCCCTAACCAGCCCATCATGAACTCCCCAACTCCTAGAACACCCCCCTGTTTCTCTGCAGTCTCTAACTTTGTAGAGAATTCTGAGAATGAAAGGAGGAGATGTAGAAATACAAAGTCATGCTCTTCACATGCCAGATGGTGAAAGGGGAGGTCAGAGAACTAAAAAGGGAAACTCCAGAGTTGCTTGTAGAATTAAAAGGTAACAGGACACACCAATCTTTTCTTTCTTTTTTCCTTGTTAGTGCCAAACCCACTCTCACAGGTAGCAATGTGAAAAAAAAAAAAATCATAGAGTTTTAAGAGTCTCCAAGTCTCTCCATCTTCCCCTAATGTTGGTTTTTGCTAGTGCCCAATCACTTCAGGAGAACCCTGAAATCAACCTGCATGAATCCAAGTCTATGACCTTACAAAGTTCTGGATTTCTAAAGAGTATATGTGTTTTCTCTCTATCAGTTATCTTTCTATACTTTAATCTCAGTAGTCTTTTATGTCTCTTCAGTTAAGTTTTTCCAGGATTGTATTAGCATCATGGTTTGCAAAATATCTGAAATGTTACAAAGTGCTGGCTTTATTATTATTAAGAAAATAGCATTTAACTGGCAGCAAGCCAGTTTTATTCAATGTATCTTCAAATGAATACCCATATTAATTAATTCCAACAATACTTCATTGAGACCTTAACTTTCTCTTCCATTGTGGAATGCTTAAATTTCAAGACTGAGCGAGGGAATTTACCAAAATTCACTTGATATTAAAGAACATTTAACCAAGTATTGCTGAAACCTCAGAATAGTTATTGAGCATGTAGATTCTTTATACAACTAGTCATAAAAGTCATCAGACGTCATCCATATGCCATGTCTCTCTTTTTAAAGGGGAAAGAATGTTTGTCCCACCTAGCTTTAGAAATAAGTTACAACATCTGAAGCTTCCTTTGGTCCCTTCCTGAATACATCTTCTTCGCAGGAGAGACAATTACTGCCTTAAATATTGAGCGACTCTTTCCTTTTCATTGTATTTTTTACAACAGTGTCTGTAAATATCCCTATACAATATATCAGAATGGAAGCCATACTGCATGTGCTCCTGTGAGTAGCATTCTTGGCTCAACATGAGATGTTTGAGATTTACACATATTGATTCACGTCATTCACTCATCTTTCAGGTGTATAGTATTCCACTGAATTAATATATCATAATTGATTTATCCATTCTACAATTTATGGACATTTTGGTGGTTACTAGTGTTTTTGCTGTTCCAGACATTGCTGTTTGATACAATTTTGTACAAGTCCCCTAGAACACACACGCTAAATAACTAGCAGTAGGATTGTTGGGTCACAAGATTGCACATGTTTAATCTTATTGGGTAATACCAGATTTGTTTCCAAAGTGATTACACCAAATTGACTTCTACCAACCAAGTATTAGAGTGCTCACTGCTCCACATTCTCACCAATCTATGAAACTGACGGACTTTAATATGTGCAAGTTGGTTGAGTGTGAAATGGAACCCATGGTGGTTTTATTTTGCATTTATTTCCTTGTTTACTAAGTACTTTGGACATCTTTTCAAGTTCATGGGCCATTCATGTTTACTTTTCTTTGAAATGGGTATTGAGTGTTTTCATGTTTCTCCTTCATTTTTCTATTAAGTTGTCTCATTTTTATTATTGATTTGTATAAGTTTTTCATATACTCAGGATACCTTTCCTTTGCTAAATATGATTGTTTTCTCTCAGCATGTGACTTTTCTTATTTAAAATAAACTTAAAAAGAGGAGATGAGTTACTTTTAGACCCTGAGAATTTGAGGTGATGAAGGAAAATCCAAATCTTGTAGTTAGCTGGAGATACGAGATTACATGGTTAAGGAAGTTAAGTGGCAGATAAGCAATTTTGACACACTAAAAGAGAAGAGGAGGCATTAACAAGATCTGGTAGCAGAATGAAATAAAAAGTTGTAATGTCTGATTCAAAACAAGGAAGTCTGACCATGCCTGCATCCAGAAAGGGGGAAGAATCCAATAAGCAGTGAGGAAGGAGAGACTGAATGTGATCAGTATGACATCAACAGTCCTCAGGAGGAAGAGAGATGGGAGTGACATTCTCAACTAAACAACTCATTGGTGCTCATAGGATATATTCCTTTGAGGATCAGTACCTCTTTCAGATCTTAGACTACTATGACAGATGTCATGCAGAAATTGAACATCCTAAGCCAAGAAATGAATCTCCTAACTCCCACTTTTAGTAAACCAGATGTACAAATTAATTTCAGTCTGTTAAAATGTCATTTTATTTTTAGTAGACAAAGAAAATTTTTTTAATAGTTCCTAACTCTAAGTAGATCAAACACTCTTTTTCTAACCTATCTTCTTCAACATAACCAAACCTCTACAACTAATAGTTATGAGTGGTTGCTTTACCAGAATGTGAAATCTGGCATTAATGTGGGAACAGTATTTATTTGCTACTTTCAAAATGAAATGGGTTATCTTAGGAAATGAAATGTTTTCATAATTCTTGCATTTAAAGAAAATAAAGAAATTTACTTTGTATTAAACTCTGTTTTAAGCTCTTTACAAATATTGATTCATTTAATACTAATAACAGTCTTAAGAAGTAGTACTGGTATTATCCCTATTTTACCAATGCAAAGACTTGCAGAAAATTCAGGAAATTTTCCCAAGGTCATTGAGGTGGTAAGTAGTAGAGCCAGGATCAGAACCCAGGCCACTCACCTCCCAAGTCCATGCTCTAATGCAGCATGCTATGCTGCTGCTACATGAGGGGGTCATTTCTAACACTTGCTTGATCTTTCTTGGAGGAAGATCAGTTAAAACCCAAAGCCTTCTGCTGATTTGTTTCGTTCATCTGTTTTAGTGTTATTCCATACTCCTTTTCTTTTCTAAAGATTATCCTGAATTTCAGCTTTAATGAAAGTTGATAGTAAATGTTATCTTTCAACAAGTAAGAGCAATATCATCACTGAGTTGGTGAATTAATAAACTGCCAGTCACATTGATAAAATAGACATAAGAGAGTAGCCTAGAGAGGGATGATATCTCAATCAAAAGAAGCAAGTCTATAAATCTAAAACATAAAAATTATGGTCCATAGTTACATGAACAAGAGCTATATAGACATGATCCAAGAACTCTAGTGTTAAAACACAGGGTAATGACAGAGATGTCAAAAGATTAAGCTCTTTATGTAAATTTTAAAACTTATAAAAAATAGAGACATCATCTTAAAACAAAGGTCCTATATTATTTACTAGAAAAGTACTGTGGGCTACTCTGAAAACCAAACCATGTACCTAAATGTGCCACAAACCAAAATGTGTTTTAAAGATTATACAGATATTAAACAAGCTGTATCTACAGAAAAATCCAATAGAAACACATTCATTTTCTATACTTTATAAGTAGAGAAATATCTAGAAATGACAATTAAGAAATAAAACAAAAAAAATCTTTAAATTCTGTCAAATCAATTAAATAATCTAATTCTTATTCATTGCCAAAAAGGTGTTTTTTTGGAGTTGTGTTCTATAAAGAGTAGTTTGATTGTGACTAAGGGTAATGAAAGGGTTAAAATAAACTAAGAAGAAATAGTTGTCATAGTTCCTACCCCCACAACTGCCAAGGGGAATCAGGAGTCATAAAAGGCATGAAGATACTGGTTCTATTTGAAGCAAAGAAGATTATAAGAATTAGCAAACTGAAGATGGCTTTAAAACAGAGAAACGAACTTTAAAAAAGATGGGTCCTCTGCATCCATGTGGTTCACAGTCAGAAATAATTCTTTTTTCCCTGTTCTTGAGGTTTTCAGTTTTTATGGTTTTATTTGGTTGGTCATTCTTTGCAGTTTTGGCCAAAAGAGTTTAACCTTTGAGAAGCCAACTGGGTTCTGGGAAAGATGCCTGTCCACAACTGGGGCAAGCAGGAATTGCACAATTCAGCGTACTTACAGGAGAACTCAGTACAACACTGACAACCACTATAAATTTAGGAAATCAAAGGAACATACCAGCAGCCAAGTAGCTAAAAACAAAGCATAAGAGGAAATCTTTAGCACAACATTTGATTTATAAGACAAAGCCAAACAAAAACAACAACAACAACAAAAACAAAAACTATT